GTTTATTTTGGTGCCAGTACCAGTAGGTACATGAAATGCTGTACCTACACCTTCAAAATACATAGAAGAAAATAAGAAGGTACACAAAGATATTTCTCCTGATTTCAGGTCTCTAAATTTAAGTTCGCTTCATGTAAGTTTTAATTTTATTTATACCCTGGGGTGGTCAAAAAGGAACCTTTAATAAAATTGCGTGGAATTGGATCCAATTCACTGTGATTAAATTTTACCATATGCTATCTAATTTTTTGTATCGAAGTTTGGGGTGAAGATTTTGAGCAACTCCTTATGATTTAAATTTAGGTTTCTGTTCTAAAATAGTTTTTGTAGTTTTATTTTTAATTGTTTTTTCTGTTGTAAAATATTTTTAGTGTTATTTTTAATTTGGTTTATTTCAAAATAAACGTTCTTAATTTGTTGCTAAAAATTACTAAGAATGAATTTATTAAGAAAAATTTTACGTTTTACTCTTTTTTAAATCAACTGTTGATTTCAGAAATGTAAAAAAAATTATTAGATTAATTGCGTACTTTTTATTGTCTAAAAAGACCAAACTAGATGACATATGGAAAATACCAAGATACATTTTACGAAAAAACTTCTGGTAAACTTTTTTTTCTGAAACTGTTGAGTTTTTGATATAAGTTTATTAAGAAAATTACTATATTCTATTTTAACGTTTTCTATTCATTCTCAAATTATTAAAGGTCCCTTTGCACCACCCTGTATATTCAGATTCATAATATTAATTTAATTAATCAATAAAAATAATTCAAAAAGTTGATAATAATTAATTTCATTATATTTTTCTTATAGGTAAATTATCTACAAACATTTTGACCCAGACACTATCAAAATTAAGCTCCTCAGAAAGTCTAGAAATTGAGGATCAAAAGTGAATGAAGGTATTATCAAAACACGCTGACGTTTAAAAAGTTCTGTTTTGATTTGAGGGAATCCTTTATCGGCCATGACCTCATCGCCGGGCTCGACTAAATTAATGAAACCAAAATCATTAACAATAAAACCATCTGTAGACCTGCCACCATAACTTTTTGATATAAATGTTATCATTCCTGATGGAATTATTCCTATAAGATATTTTACGGTAAAAGAAGACTTGTAGGAAGAATACATCAATGCTCCACAGTTGGTGGAGTGTCAACGGGAATTTCGGTGCAATCAATGATTACTCGACAATTTGGATATTTCTTAAAAGAAGGTGGCATAATTGCTTTAATTGCTTCTCTAGTAGGCCAAAATACCCATGTTTTTATACTCAAATAATGTTTCCAAAACATCGTCAAAAATTTTGGAGGCAGTTTTCCCAGAAAAAAATTCCAGTTGCTGCAAAAGTTAAGCACAGTTTCATTTTCATAGTTTTGCTTTAAGTTAAGTTTTACTTATTATGTTGTTATCTTTTTCTGTTGTCATTCATATTACGTTTATGTAGTCTTAAGTTTTGTTCACACATGTATATACAAAATATATTTTTATACGGCATTATATAATAAACCAAGTATAAACAAATTTTTCCTTAATATAATCCTTAATTTTTGACAAAATAAAAAAAATCAACACAAAAAGTGCCAAAGTCAGGACTAAATTAATATATTTTTTGGGTATAACAAAACTTTTTTTTCTTTTTTAATCATGGAAGTCCAATCCACTTTCTACGAGAAATACAATACAACCCACATTTTGATCATAATATTTTGTGCAATATTTCATAATAAAAAATAAACCTTAAAACCGCAATATCTTAAAATCACCTATTTCAAATAGGCTATTTGTGACTAAGGCACTTTTTGCATTGACCCCTTCAAATACAAAACACCCTGTTATTAAAGTATTTTTAAATTAAATATGTATTAACCAGGTAATAGCAACAAATAAAGTAATAGTTTGTTTTGGGAATGATTACCAAAAATTGGGATAATTTTGACAGTTTGGGTATGTTAAGAGTAAACGCTTTTGTGTTTAGTTAGGAAATCATTCACACTTAAAATGTCCAAGCTGTTTCCAATATACTCGATTTTTGGTAATCATTCCCAAAACAGTCCTCTCCGTGTAGCCAAAGTTCTTTGAGGTAATAATTTAATGTAATGGTTGATTTTGTTTTCCACTTAACATTTTTTTATATTAGATACTAGATTATGAACACAAATAATAAAAATATTTTCCAGACGATTTTTACAAAAACATCCATATTCCAAATTGGTATTTACATACACTTTTTAAATTTTAAATTAATATTTTAATTAGCTAGATAATGTATGTGATATCCAAAATAGATATTTTTATGACAAATCATTAGGTTCAAACAGAACAAGTCTATTTTTATAAGTTTTTAAGATATGGTTGTTTTAAATAAAAAATAATTAACAAGCCATTTTTGGACTATGGCCGTTTTTGTAAGAAGCGCCTCATTTCTATATTTAGTTCTCCCTTGATAAAAATAATTATTAAAAAAAAAATCAAAAAAATAAAAGACCACCATTAGATACAAAGTATTTAATAAAATATAAAATAAATGAAGGTAAAAAAAAGCCGGTCCAGTAATGTTTTAAATTTATTTTATAATTCTATAGTTTTTAATATCTGTACTAATAATAATAATAATTTATTATGCAGCTAAACACAATTAATTTAATTTGAAAAAATCAAATAGTTTTTTAGGAAATAAATTATACATGGTATGATAAAAATGGAGACTAAACCTAAAATTGTTAATAGGTATATTTATTTGCAAAGAATTTTTATATGTATACGTTAGATTTTTTATGGCTGGATATAGGTATATATACAATAGAAAAATTATGAATTTTAGAACATTATAATTGGATTTATGGGTAAAACTTTAAATAGTATATATATAGCATTTTAACATGTACAATTTTTAAATTTAACATGTCATGGGGCCCCAAAAATTGGGATGCATAATATTAGCATATTAATATTTTTTTAATCGTTTGAGCAGTAAGGCAAGTTTGATGAAATTTAAGTGCATTGTTGGAAACTTTTTGATTTAAAAATATTTTGGAAACATTGTTACGGTTAAAAATGTAATAATAATAATAATGGGTCTTTATTTTTCAATTAGTACATACAAGATATTTATAATTAAACAAAAAAAAAACAAAAATTAATAAATCCTAAATGTACATATCTAAAAGAAAAAATGCCGAAGATCAGTATCGAGTACAAAAGTGTACTCTTACTGTTATTAACCTTCAATAATATCTGAGACTTACTAAATTATTAAAGACATACATCGATGTGATTTGTACTATACACAATAATCATACCAAACCATTCTACTCCATCACCAATGGTATTTTTGTAAGGCTTCATCCTTGCTCATTCTTCCAACAATGTTTCACCTGTTTTATAAAGTTTCTTCTATTTTTCTTTCTAAAATTTAAAATCTGTTACTTAATAATTTTAAACAAATAAATTAGATTTTTTCCAGCCATATATTTCTAGCATTTTTTATGTTTAAATAAAGAATTTGTAATTGATACCTGTTATTTATGACTTTATCACTATCACTTTATCCCTATCAAAAGCTTATTTAATTTGCTCCAAAGTCTTTCCTTTTTTAAAACAACAGTTAAGTATAAGTATAAAAAGGTTTAAAGCATAGAAAGTATTGTCTTTTAAACATTTTAGGCTTAGGTTTAACATTTTTAGATTTAGATAAAAAATTATGAATTTTAGAACATTATAATTGGATTTATGGGTAAAACTTTAAATAGTATATATATAGCATTTTAACATGTACAATTTTTAAATTTAACATGTCATGGGGCCCCAAAAATTGGGATGCATAATATTAGCATATTAATATTTTTTTAATCGTTTGAGCAGTAAGGCAAGTTTGATGAAATTTAAGTGCATTGTTGGAAACTTTTTGATTTAAAAATATTTTGGAAACATTGTTACGGTTAAAAATGTAATAATAATAATAATGGGTCTTTATTTTTCAATTAGTACATACAAGATATTTATAATTAAACAAAAAAAAAACAAAAATTAATAAATCCTAAATGTACATATCTAAAAGAAAAAATGCCGAAGATCAGTATCGAGTACAAAAGTGTACTCTTACTGTTATTAACCTTCAATAATATCTGAGACTTACTAAATTATTAAAGACATACATCGATGTGATTTGTACTATACACAATAATCATACCAAACCATTCTACTCCATCATCAATGGTATTTTTGTAAGGCTTCATCCTTGCTCATTCTTCCAACAATGTTTCACCTGTTTTATAAAGTTTCTTCTATTTTTCTTTCTAAAATTTAAAATCTGTTACTTAATAATTTTAAACAAATAAATTAGATTTTTTCCAGCCATATATTTCTAGCATTTTTTTATGTTTAAATAAAGAATTTGTAATTGATACCTGTTATTTATGACTTTATCACTATCACTTTATCCCTATCAAAAGCTTATTTAATTTGCTCCAAAGTCTTTCCTTTTTTAAAACAACAGTTAAGTATAAGTATAAAAAGGTTTAAAGCATAGAAAGTATTGTCTTTTAAACATTTTAGGCTTAGGTTTAAGATTAAGGTTTTAGATTTAGATAAATTAATAATTTTTAGAAAAACAAATGCTCAAATCAAAAACTTACAATTCTACAAGCTCCAACAACAATTGTCTGTCCCTTTCTGATGCTTCAGGTCCCCTTCTTTATTTATTATCCATCTTTATTATTAAACTTTACTTAAAATCAAACTGTCATACAAGCACATTATAACCTATAACAGCTGTTATAACGGTTATAACGTCCGACTCATTCAAAAATAAAATCCAAGACCGTAATTTAAACATTTGTTTACACTTTTTTTAAATTGGATATTGAGAAATTGTATGAAAGAACTAAAAACAAACATATTTATATACTGTACCTGAGCTTTTAGAAACCAATGCGGTTAGTTTTAAAATTCGATTTTCTAGCCTTTCTTTTCGACCACTGCCAGGGGGCTGTTTTTTTCGGTAGATCGTAGTAAAAATTGTGGGATTGTAAGATTCTGACCGCGGATCTTTCAATTTTTTACCTCCTTGAAAATAAAGACTAAATATTCTTGTCCATTTTGACGGTTGTCAAGGTTTGCCTTTGACGCTACAAAAAACGATTCTAGGCAAAACGATTGTACTTTTCTTTTAAGCACTTTTTTTCGGTATTAATCGGACTCTTATTAGCAAAAAAAACTTAAGTTATTAGTAACTTATTAGCAACAAAAACTTACGTTATTCGACGCACAGAATTTATCCATTTTTTTTTGCGCTCGGATTCCCACGTTTTTTTGGGAAACCGGTAAAACCTTAAACCCGGATTTCTTCTTGATAAGCACCCAACAACACAACAAATCGTTCCACGTTTATTTTTCGCGATATTTTCCGCACACATTTTAAAAAACACTTATTTAAAATAAACGCGTTTGACATTTGATTTTCAAATCGGAACTTAAGTTACGATGATGACGGCCGCTAGTTGGCGACACTAGCGATACTTCTTTAGCCTATAATAGGCATATGCTATTTTCGAAAGACTCATAAAACAAATATGGTTGATCGTGTTTATGTACAGTGTTGCCATAAAAGTTCCTGACTTTAAATTACAAAATACTAAAAAAACTAGTTATATTTTAAATTTACTAGCGCATTCACCCTGTTTTGAAAAATAAATTAAATTAATTTAAAATTGTTATTTAAGTCAAATAAAAATGTAACAGGATAGAATAAAATGATTGTGCATATTTAGTAACTATAGAATATTATTTAATGAAAATTTCTTTAGTTATTATTTTGATCGAAATTTGCAAATTAAATTCTACCCGCAAAAATTACGAAAATACCAGATTTTCGAGTATAATACTTGCAAACGGCAACACTGTGTCGCAGTGACAGGTCAGCTGTGCTCTAATTGATCAGCTGAGAAAATAGATATTGCGTCTATATCACAAAACTAGAAGGTGGGGAGAAGTCAAAACGCTGTCTATAAACGTGAGGCAAGAATCTTGGGTATCTACCTACATTTTTGTTTTCGACATGTAGAAAACCTTTTTCGACGTTTTCGAAAACGTAAAAAAGTAGAATACTGTCAAATATCAAAAAATGTGAGGTTATGCAAGTTTGTTGTTTATTATGATTTGTTAAATGTTGTGAAAAATCAGACACCTACCATAAATTTGAAGTTATTTGGAGTTTTTTAACATTATTATGGTGGGAAAAAAAGGGCCACGTTTGGTTGGGAGACCCCAACATAATTTTTGGCATGAGGGCAAATTTTTATCAATTATAGAGAAGTGGAAGGAGAAGGTCGAATAAGGTAATTTACGTAGGTAGAAAACCCTATAGGTTTTCGACACAAGTCGAAAACAAGTTTTCTACCCTTTTCTACCAAGGTAAATTACCTAAGGTTTTCTACTGACCCAACCCTGGGCAAGATACAATCCGCACCGACTAATCGTGCGCTTGCGCTTTTCATCCAAATTTAAATTTGCGGTTTTAAATTATATCTCGTAAATAATGGAGTATTATCTTTTTATGCAGTTAGTTAACAAACACTTGTGTTTAAATATTTTATTTATTAACCTTTAAGGTTGTGTCAAATAAGTTATTTAAAATAGAAAATTATCACTTTGTTTAAACCATAAAGTTCAATATATTGAACTTTATACATTTATTTTGATTTTTGTTGCCCAATTTACTTAGTAGTTAGCATCTACTTGATCTTGTTTTTATATCATTTGTTATTTAAAAATTTATTGATTTTTATGGTTTAAAGTTTACATTTAAAACAGTGATAATTTAATTAAAATTGTCTTTTTTTATTTTGCTTAAAAATATTTGAAATGCTGTTTTATTTTTTTGTGGAATATGATATTCTAAAAAGACGAACAAAAAACACAAGACTCTCCAGTATTTAGAAGTATCCAAACATATATATATATATATATATATATATATATATATATATATATATATATATATATATATACAATATGCTACCTTATATACAATATATATATGCTACCTGAAACAAAAAAACTGATAATGTGCAAAAAACTAAAAATCTATTTATTTAATTGTGATATTATTCCTTAATACTATTTAATTTTTATTTTTCTAAACATTAATTATATATATTTATAGACCTACATACCCGGACAACATTCGTGATATTCATACGAACATCATGTCGTGATTTTCACAAATTTTATTCATACTGATATCATACGGAAGTCACCGCGTGATAAATGAAAATCATACGAACGTCACGTCGTGATTTTCACAAATATTATTCATACGGACATCATCCGGATGTCACTGCGTGAGAAATGAAAATCATGTCGTGATTTTTATGCCATCGCTGTTTGCGATTGACCGATGGCACAAAAAATCATGTCGTGATTTTTTATGCCAACGGTGTTTGGATAATCATTTTTGCGCCACATTCGTACACTAAGAGAAAAATTATGTTGAATCAACAGTTTTTGCGGTTAAATAAATTTAATATATTCTTGGATTTAAATTAACTATATATATATATATATATATATATATATATATATATATATATATATATATATATATATATATATATATATATATATATATATATATATATATATATATATATATATATATAGTTAATTTAAATCCAAGAAAATATTGAATGTATTTAACCACAAAAACTGTTGATTCAATACACATACAGGGTGTCCCATAATTAGCGTGCAATACTTTAAGAGCAGATTCTACGTACAAAAATAAGAAAAAAGTTCCTATAAACATAGGCCGAGAAATGCTTTCTAAGGAAACTACAGCCCATAAATGAGGAGCCCCTGAAGATGGTTTTTATTTAATATATCCAAAACCGTTCAGGGTAGACAAGTAAAATTTTGGGAATTAATCAAACTTTTTATGGCCAATAAGATGTAATAATAACAATTCAAAATTTCCATGAGGGGTGGGTCAGATAGATAGGGAATAGGGGTTAAAACCACCCTAACTTTTTGTACGTGTCTCATGCTAGGATTTGATGTCAGATTATGAAATTTCGGAATTTTACACACAAAAAAGGTCCTCTTGTTAAAGTTTGATATTGGCCACTGTTTTCGCTTAAAATCGATTTAAAAATTACCTTACATAGCATAAAAGATCATAATGAATTCACAAGAGAGAAAAATTCAGAGTAGGCCATGGAACACAGCTGCCATCTTTAGGAAAAAATATTTAAGACAGGTGACAGTTTCATGTAATATGTGACAGGGTGTTTAAAAATTGTCCATGGCCATGTTTAAAAATTGTTCATGGCCTACGCTGAATCTTTTTTTCTAGTTGTGATTTCATTATGAATTTTTATGCCATGTAAGGTAATTTTTAAATCGATTTTAAACGAAAACGAAGTTTATCAAGAGGACCTTTTTTGTGTGTAAAACTCTGAAATTTTATGATCTGATATCAAATCATAGCACAAGATACGGAGACTTTAACATACCTGAACTAAATGATTATTACCAAAATAAAAACTCCACAGTATCCACTAATCAGTTACTAAATTTCCTAGACTTCTGTCACTTAGAACAACAAAATTTCATTCCAAATACAAATAACAGAATCTTAGACCTAATTATATCTTCTGCAAAGTTAACATGCAATTCGGAACGATCACTCGAACCGCTAGTAGATGAAGATCCCCATCATCCATCTATCGACTTTAATATAAAAATTGAGTCACAAGAAACAAAAAAAATTCATAGAGCATGAAATACAAAAATATGATTTTAAAAATGCAAATTTAACATTGCTATATGATGCTATAAATAACTTGGACTGGTCAGAAGTATATTTGTCTAAAGATGTGGATAGAGCATGCAAAATGTTCTATGAAAAAATTTATCAAGTGTTTGACCGGCTTGTTCCTAAAAAAAAAAAGAGACACCCGAAATTACCCCCATTTAAAAAGACAAAACGCTTATAATATAGAGACAAATTTGTTGAACTTAGAAGAATATTAAAAAGTAGCATAAGGGAAGCCTACCAACTATTTGTTGTTCAAACCGAAAATAATATTAAGTCTAACCCAAAACAGTTATGGAGCTTCATTAATAATAAAAAGAACTCTAGCAGAATTCCTGGTGAAATGACGATGGACGGAAGATCATGTACAACGCCAAATCAAATTGTCAACGCTTTTGCAGAATATTTTAGTGAAGTGTTTGTACGGCCGGTTGCCAATGATAATTATGATTTACCCATGAACTACGTACAAAATTTTGATCTGCGTCAGATTAGTGAGTTAGATATATTAAGTGCGGTAAAAAATATATCTTCAAATTTTACCTCAGGACCTGATTGTGTTCCAGCCTTTTTTGTTAAGAATTGTATTGATTTTTTATCTCTACCATTAATGTATATTTTTAATTTAATCCTGGCAAATAATACATTTCCTGAACAATGGAAAATTTCCAGAGTAACACCGATTTTTAAATCAGGTGACAAATGTTGTATAAGAAATTACCGTCCAATAGCAATCATATGTAACTTTGCCAAGATATTTGAAACTATACTAACAAAATTTTGTTATATATTAATATATATATATTAATATATTATATATAATATATTATATATTAATATATTAATTTTCATATTTCTCCCCTTATTTCCCCAGCTCAGCATGGTTTTGTTAAAGGTCGCTCCACGGTCACAAACCTATGTAATTTTACTGAATTTACATCATATTCTTTAAATCAAAAACTGCAAGTTGATGTAATATATACCGATTTCACTAAAGCTTTTGATAAAATTCAGCATAATATTCTTTTACGTAAACTACGTTACTTCGGTTTTAGTGGAAACATTATTAATTTATTTAAATCATACCTGCACCAAAGACTTCAATATGTTGAATACAAAAACTGTAAATCGGAAGTATATTGTGCAACTAGTGGCGTTACCCAAGGGAGTAATCTTGGACCAATATTGTTCTTAATGTTTGTTAACGATATAACAAATGACATAGGCTCAAAAAATTTACTATATGCTGATGATTTTAAAATATTTAGAGCTATTACCACGTACGATGACTGTGTATACCTACAAAATAATCTTAATATTTTGTATAGCTGGTGTGAAAAAAATCAATTATATTTAAACATTGAAAAATGTTACGTTATGAGGTTTTCCAGAAAAGTTAATAATATTGTTTTTAATTATAAAATAAATAATGAATCTTTAAGAAATGTTGAAACAATTAAAGATTTAGGCATCACTTTTGATAAATCTCTATCATTTGTCCCTCATATAAATTTGACAATCTCGGCAGCTAACAAAATGTTGGGTTTTATAATACGTAACACAAAAGAATTTAAAAACCTAGATAATTTGAAAGTCCTCTATAATGCCTATATTCGTAGTAAATTTGAATATGCCTGTGTCATTTGGTCACCATTCTATGATATCCATATTGATAACAT